GCCTGTACCACGGCGAGTGTTCTGAGGAGTTATTCTCTCTTATTCTACCTTCCCCTTTCCTTCAGAGGACCACGCGCGCTGGCTTACGTTGTCACCGTCTAACTGTGGCTACAATTCCAACACGTACAAAGAAATTTGGTGACTCATTTCTTTGTCGTACTATCCGTAAATGGAATGCTCTGCCCGCTCACGTGTTCCCTCCCTCTTACAACCTGGGATCCTTTAAAAGAGGCGTGAAGAAGCAACTTGCAGGCCGGCAGGGTGAGGATGGCTGGTGTGGCAGTTAGAACTGCTGTATCAGCTATCTTCGCGTCTGGACTTCACCTTCACTTAACATCAGGTGGGGTGGAGTCATTGGTCGGATCTATTTATAAAAAAAAAAAAAAAAAAACCCTTTAATTGTGTATGTGTGAGTAATAAAGTGTTTATCTATCTATCTATACCTTATGGGTTTCGGTTTTCCAAAACCACGGCTTAATTTTTTTTAAAAAACTTTCAAACAAGAAGGTAAGTAGTTAATATTCCATTTTCTTACTTAAGGTAGATCTTTACACTCTCATTCTAGAAAAAACTAAACAAAAAAATCCAAATCTTGTGCTCTAGATAAACACAAACATTAGTTAGATTAAGATTAGGTACAGGAAGGCGGCAATATGTGACAGTCTGTCATGTAAATTATGATTCTTTATGACTGTTCCAAATATAACAAGTTTGTTTACAAGACAGGAATTTGGCGATATTATGCGCATGCATTTATTTTTACATCATGCTCTCATTGTGTAATATAAAGAAATCAATAAAAAATATTTATTTAAATCGAGTTTTTTTATTATTAATAAATTTGGAAAATCCAAAAGTGCACGCCTCAAATTCACGAAACAGAAACCCAGTAAATAAATTCCATTGAATTTCATTAATATCTTTAAAACGGTTATCAGTTCAACCATGATAAGAAATAGGGTTCATCCTCAGTATAAGTGGAAATTAATTCAAAAGGATTTATTACAATTAATTGCGTATATTTTTCTAAAACGTGCAGACAAACAAGTGCACAGACCAACGGACAGCAGTACTAATATTTTTTTAACTACATTTTTTTGTTATATATATATTAAAAAAATAAATGAAAAAATACGCTGACTTTATAATTTAATATGTCTACTTTTCAAAACAACTTTTTTTATTAATTTAGTGTCTAACTTGGGAGATAAGAGCGATTTTATATTGTAAAATCGTCACAGTGGCCCATCGAGAGTAAAGCACTCCAGAAAAAAATCTACTATTACGCGTTGTGAGGCGTGCAAAAGATCTAAAAGTTAAAAAAAAGGCCGATAAGAAATATAATTTTTTTTTGGTATTTACTATTAGCTAATTTGATTCCTGATCCACCATAGGCTTATTTGCTTACAAAAAATTCAAAACAATGGTAGATTTTTTCTGAGATCATATTTTTGCCGCCTTCCTGTGTTTACTATAACTTATTTGGAGTTTTTCCCATAGACAGGAATAAAGAGTTTACGATTTTAAACGTGATTCCGAAATACAAACGACTATTCCAATTTTATCTATAAAATTCGGATTGATCGGTTTCGGATTTGATTATTAACAATGCATGCACAATAGATCATGTTATAGATCTATAACATAATCTATTGCATTGTAAATAAATCAAATCAGATTAAATTTCAAAGATCTTTCATCTATATTAACACAGTTTCCTTGTTATTAGAAAGTCTTAAATGCAAATTACGCATTCTCTACAAAGGGAGAATTGTTCGTTTTGACATTTTTAAACAAATAATCGGACAAGTGAGTCAGAAATCGATGGTAATCAATCAAGTATTTGTTGTTTAAATACAACATAGACGATACACCAGCGTACTCATCATAATAGCCATACACATTCCTAACTTAGTTTTAATTTTGAGATAGACCCCGTAATAATGGTCCAAAAAATTTAACTTTAACTGTTCCCTATTTTTCTGTTATTTAATATTTGAAAGTGATAAAAACTATATTCATATCCCACTCAATGAGCTCTAGACAACGACGTGTCACATGCTGGGGTAAAAGAGAAAAAAATGGGCCCTGCTTACTACACAAATGTTGTAGCATATATATGCTATAAAAAATAGTATATATTTACTCAGACCCCTCTTTCCCAGTGGGCACTTTGGGCAAGTGCCCAAGGCCCCGCAATCGATAGGGCACCCCTCAGATCAAATACAAAGTCCCTAGTTCCTGTTAAATCACCAAACGGGGGTCATAGGGGCCCCCATTATCCTGATATGCCCAGGGTCTCGAATAGGTTAAAGACGGCACTGTATTTACTTCAGGATAACTGATAACGTATGTGATTTATTTCAATACTATCCCCTTTTTTTCTCCCCCTGTGTTTCAGTAAATGTGTGGGAATTTACTGGAACCTCCCCGTGGACTTCTTGAGGGAACGTCGAAAGTCACTTTCCGCTATTTTGTTTCACTTGCCAACACTTGTGCATGTTCCCGAACACTTAGTGGTTAATGATCCACCATTATTAGACACCAACATCCGCCACAACATAATTTTTAACAAGAAAAACAAAACTGCTAAGAGTGACGCTTTCCGATCCCGCCAAAATCTCCTACTAACCACGTTATTATGTAAGGTTGAAAGATTATGGTTATGAAAGATTGTACAGATCAGGGAAAATATTTTAGGAGTCCTTCAATAAAATAAGATTTATTTATGTCTTTAATTCTAGCTTATTGCATCACTATCGCAACTTATATTTAATTTTACAATACAAACATAATTATTAGGATACTTAGATTGTTGTAAAATCCAATTCGATCGAAAATTGGTTAATATAAAAATAAGTGGCAATTTTTAGAGGATTTTTTTCTTAAGAGGCCTTTTACAAAATTGCGCCGCTGCCGTACTGATCGTCGCGCAGGTAGATTTGCACTAGTATATATTTCATTTTACGGGTGATGTTTCGAGTCTTATAAAATAATTATTAATGAAGCAATTATAGAAATATATATACATATTTCAGAAGTTCAATGATGGTAGATTAGTTTTATGAAAGTTTTTGATAGTAATGCTATTTAATTCAATATCAAAATACGAGGTAAACCTGCATTGTTTTTTGGGAAAACTCACGGAGGTTAGATGTTTTTTTTGATAATTAATGAGATGGAAAATCAAAATTCTTATACATTATGTTACAACAAAAACATATTTCTGATGTCGTAGTAATTAATTTGATCTAATTTATTGAACATTATTTAGAGATTCAGGCGTTTGAAGTTGTGCAAATTTTTCGTAAACTAGCTGCGCTAGAACGATCAGTACAAAAAAAGGAAAATAGTATTTGTAAATATTCTACATTAACTTTCAATAGGAAGAATAAATCTACTGTTTTCTTCTATTGGAATAGTCAAAAAAATTTAAAGGTGAAAATGCGGCGTTTCTAAAATTACGATCTCTTGCAAAAAATGTGAAAGGGCTCTTAAATTACATGATCCTGTATTGATTCCTTATACAGTAATGACTTATGTCTTACCTACAACTTGGTTTAAAAGAAGAATTAAAAATAAAATTCTACAGAAATAACACAATATGTGTTATTTTACAATAAGGTCAATTCAGTGTGGTGTATTAATGATTAATTATTTCATTTGTCTCTTTAAACTACGAGTAATATAAAGTTTCGTGCTGAGTGATTTAACGGGGTTTATCATTTCAAAAAAACACTCAAGTACATTATTTTTCAAACACACTACTTGATTATTATTACATTACACATCTTTCACCAAAAACGTAGTATGTTTTGCAAAACAAGACCTCCAATAGCCATGAAGCATGATTTTTTAATTCCTAATGACCTTTGCAGTAGAATTAAAAAAAACTGCTGAATTCCCAAAAATCACTAGTTTCAAAATAAATCCCTTTTCACTAAAGGCACAGAATCTATACATATATATAAACACCTTGAGCCTCTTCAATTACGCCGTGACGTGGCGTCACTAAGCGCGTTCTATCGTTTGTACCACGGCGAGTGTTCTGAGGAGTTATTCTCTCTTATCCCACCTTCCCCTTTCCTTCAGAGGACCACGCGCGCTGGCCTACGTTGTCATCGTCTAACTGTGGCCACAATTCCAACGCGTACAAAGAAATTTGGTGACTCATTTCTTTGTCGCACTATCCGTAAATGGAATGCTCTGCCCGCTCACGTGTTCCCTCATTCTTACAACCTGGGATCCTTTAAAAGAGGCGTGAAGAAGCAACATGCAGGCCGGCAGGGTGAGGATGGCTGGTGTGGCAGGTAGAACTGCTGTATCAGCTATCTTCGCGTCTGGACTTCACCTTCACTTAACATCAGGTGGGGTGGAGTCATTTGTCGGACTTAACTATAAAAAAAAAAAAAAAAAAAAAAACTCAAAGGTGACTGACTGACATAGTGATCTATCAACGCACAACCCAAACCACTGGACGGATCGGGTTGAAATTTGGCATGCAGGTAGATGTTATGATGTAGGCATCCGCTAAGAAAGGATTTTGATCAATTCTACCCCCAAGGGGATAAAATAGGGAATGAAAGTTTGTATGAAACTTTTTCAATTTAAAAACCGATCGGGCTGAGACTTTGCATACAGGTATAAGAAGAATCATAGATGAATGTCATTGTGTATAATACAAGCCTGAGAACAAAAACTATAGTCTACACTTCAGCTCTACACCGAAGCGAAGCGAGGACGGGCCACTTAGATTTATATATAAAGTAGAAACGAAAAATATATTGTCGAATAGTAACTACATTTGTATGACAGAGTATGTGCCTAAGGCGAAATCTGTATCTTTTTCCCCTGTGGAGTAACAATAACCTTGTTTTCCTACTACAGGAACATGGAACAGTGTAAACGAAATAGGCTAGTTATCTTTCTAACCAGTAGAGACCTGTAGAGACCGAATTGCCAAATAAAAGAGAATCATGCAACCACCTTGTTATACAGACCTCGAAGTAGTTGATGATCACATCAGGCTCCTCATCCTTGATCAGGTCCTGCAGGAACTCCAGGTTAACTTCAGCCATGTTCGCGGGGTCGGGACCTGCACTACACTACGTCCAGTCGCATCGCAAACGTGTCCGCGTCATCGTCGACAAGGTACCATTGTAATGCTGCTAGGGTATCCATTTCTTAGCACTTGTCAAGGACATTCCTATATCATCATTTCATCATCATCATCATCAGTGTCAAGTACATTAGGAGCGTATTATTTAGTAAAACTAGTTTTTACGGGTTAATGCACGAAAACTTTATTTATTTATTGACGTTTCGTAGCCTTTACAGGCTCCGAAGGTAGCTCGACAAATTAAATAAAAGTTTTATTCTGACGACGTAGCATGTAAAGGCTACGAAACGTCAATAAATAAATAAAGTTTTCGTGCATTAACCCGTAAAAACTAGTTTTATTTAATGAGTGATGTGCGTGAAAACCTAAGAAACAAATACGTATTATTTAGGTTTGGCTCTACCTTAACCTTAAAAAACCGGTTTTCCTAAAAAGCGAAATCAAATAGGTTTTGAATCAATTTCGCGGTTATTAAAGGGTTTCATTTCGCTCTTACTGACGGCATCGATAATAAATGAATAACTTGACTCACTAGACGCTAGCAAACGTGTCAATAAATGCATCAATCTCTGAGCATTAACAAGTTGTGACTTAATTAGTTCAAACAAAACAAACTTCAAGCGATGCTACGCGTGCACGTGTCGCTCTGGATTAAACCGGTTTGTTAAGGTTTTAGGTACCGCTTTCATTTCGGACGCGCTCCAAACGAAACCTTCACTAAAAACCGGTAATAACCTTTATTTACCGGTAGTTTCGAAACCGGTTTCAAGCCCTGACCTAATCTTCTTAATAAGGAAGAAATGGAAGACTGTTCACCGAAAGTGTGGTGTTGCTCTGACCGGAGCGAACTATCTGCTGGGTACTTCAATACTGCCTTACTCTATGAAGGAATAGGAGATCGTATCAACATCATCATCAACCTATTAATGTCCCACTGCTAGGGCGCAGGCCTTCCCCAAGGATGGTATAGGGAGATTGGGCTATGACCCACCACGCGGGCAAAGTGCGGATTGGTGGGTGCTAACGACTGCAGATGCAGCCGGGACCAACGGTTTAACGTGCCTTCCGAAGCTCGGAGGAGTTCGAGATAGTAAATTTTTGGTCACCCATCTAATGACCGACCACTGCGAAAGTTGCTTAACTTCAACGATCGCAGCCTAACGCGCAGACCACTTGCGCCATCAAGCTCCTTGTTTCATGTATTGATAGAGAGTAGTACATTCGCCCGGATAGCGAAGGATGCGGATTCAAGTCCCGCTTGCTGCCTGGTCCGCGTGGAAATTTTCTAGTAATATTTTGTTTAGATTTTAACAACGAGCAGTTTCATGATCAAAAAAATTGTAAAATTACATTACCCTTTTTTAAAACCCCAGGGATGCCGCCATCAGGCATTGAACAGGGCCTCAGGATCAAGTATGGCATCTGAAGACCCGCAGCCTTTTTCACCAAGGGGGAGTCCTTCTCGGGGGAGTGTTCGCAACCTCCCCTACGACACCCCCCAACCATGCGGGGGTGTCGTCCCTCCCAGGGGACCATTCGCGTAACGGAAATGCTTTGGAAAACGCTAACGCTTTCGATTTAATTTATTATTTCTAACCGCCGATGGTTTTCACATACCTCACGCTTATTTTTTTTAAATATTGTTATTACCAATGCAAAAGAAAAAAAAATTGTGTGTGTCAGCTCCGACGCACGACTGGAGTTTACTCCTTAAGTTCGATAGTCTAACCAGACGCAAAAAGAGTTTATTTAACTTAAAAAAGATTGATACTGTATGAAAGGGTAAATTAACAAATTAATGAAATTAATATACATATATAAATATATATTGATTCATTTCATATACATTTATTATAACAAATCGTTATAACTAAATTTTACATTAAAATTTGTTTACAATATTCAATTTCAGATGTGCATGAATATATCATTAGGAATGTTGATAAATTATGTAATGTTTTTATTTGTTTTGTTACCTTAAGTCATGGTGGGCGATAACAGAGTCATGTTGTTAAGTTAAATATTTGTAAGGACAAATCTCAGTTTGTCCTTGGTGGGCGATTATGTATACGCCATTTGTGCATTTAAAATTTTAGTTCATATGTATCAAAACAGATGGCGCTGTAGTTCGTTGCATCAGCTTGTAAATATGTTTGGAGCTACATATAGGCAAAACGTCACCTTACTAACAAAGAAATCTACGGTCTAACAAAATATACTGTAGTTTCAATTTAATTCTTTCGCACCAAAAACGTAACGAGGTCATTCATCGATAGATTTTACTCTTCACATTTTTCTCATACCGGGCCCCTAACCCTTATATATGCAAATGATTCTTAAGGAGTAAACTCCAAAAAGCGCGAGGCATTTGAAAACCTCAGGCGGCTAGAAATAACAAAATTAAATCGTAAGCGTTGGTGTTTTCCAAAGCATTTCCGTTAGTCGAATGGCCCCCTGGTCGCTTCCATGAGCACAAGCTCCGTCGTGCTCACCAGTGACCCTCGGCAGCGCATCAGACCATTACCTGGCCCGACGCCGCCTCCTTCGAGTGGGATCGACCATCTCCCGATCCCGCTCGGCGGTCTCCTTCTTCTTCTTCTTCCAACGGGCGTTTCCGCAACTCGACGTCCTTGTGACGCCTGTTTTGCGTGAGGAAGGTGTATAGCCGGAATCACTCCAGCCAGCCCAGCTCCATCAGGAACGCCCCCAAGGCCTTCACATTGGTGACTGCCTGTTGAAGGTTTCCCGGTGAGCCGAGGTATTTCGCCCGGTATTCGGCCACGCCGTTGCATTCCAGCAGAACGTGAGTAGCTGTTTCTTCTGCCTCCATGCATCCTCTGCATAGGGGGCTGTCCGTGACCCCTAAGTCAAAAAGATGTCTGTTAAAGTGTGCATGTCCGGTAATAGCACCTGTTACCATGCGCAGTTTGCTCCTTCAAAATTACAATACCTAGAATAATAATAATAACTTTATTTATTTTTCTCCAACAATCTACATGTTATATCTTATAATTAAAACAATATATGTATATTTCATAAGATTGCGAGAGCCTGGTACCTGAACTAAGCGCAAGCTTGTATCTCAGTGCACCAGTACCCTCCTCTTCGTTTTATGTTAACAAAGTAAGTTTCTACATATAAAAATACCTGTAGGAGAATATATTATATACCACATATATCCAAATAAAGACTTCATTGACAATGATCGGTACTAGAGCCAAGACGAATTTATATTAAGTTAATTACAAAGCACATATTTATGGAAGAAGCAAAGAGTTATACGTTGTCACAGTTAGTATAATGGTTTTTTGAAAACCACTACTAGAAAAGAACACGCAAAAACATGATTTAAACCTAAGTCACATACCATCATACATTAATTTATATGCACTTGCCCGCAGATTGTTCCTTTACAGCTTCAAAATCAGACAGGTGTATAGAATGCTAACGGCGTGGTCACCCTATATCGTAGGGTGTATTTATCGAATTGCAGCCGCTACGGAGTGGGGCCGCAGTGATTGAATAATGCGTTCCCGGCCTCTGCTTGTTATATTGACGTGTCGTCCTTCCACTTGCGTAATTTCCCATTTCTATTAGTATCGTTTGATATTACTAACAGAGCTACGGCATAGAGGATTTTCGGCTCGACTGGAGCGCCCGCTGGGGATACCTCTACCTTACAGAAGAACACAGTAAAATAACACTACCTTTTAGGCTTCGCGGGGTAGGGGATTAGGGTAGCGTAGGTAACGGTGCTAGTCATATTTTTGTATCGCAAGCTTCTATAGGCCGCATACGTAAATCGTGTTAGTAACCAAACCAGCAGGTTTGGTTTAGAGTTTTAATCATTAGGAAATAATGCTTTAAACAGTTGGAAATTCCAACCACAAAAGGAGATTGCTCAAATTGGCCTAAATGCACAAAAAATATTGACATACACGGTAGTTCTTGGCGTAATTTATAATTTAATTTACAGTCATTAGATTTCAACGGACACCTTTGTATAATATATTTACTTTAAAAAGGACTTTTAATATTACCGGTTTGGAAAACATACGAATCATTTTTAATGGCTAGGGGTGTAGTAACATTCAGCCAAAGACTGATCGAAGTTGTTTTTAAAATATTATTTTATTTTGTAAAGATCGATAAAATAAATCATTTTTTTTTATTTCACTGTGGTATTAATATCCACCACTATATTATCATTTTCACTAGATGCAAATATGCTCAGACAATTATTATAGATGGTAGGCGACATCATAAAGTCAATTGGCATACATTTTTCCCAAACACCTCCATAAACACATTATAATCTGTATATATGTTAGACTTTAAGGTATCTATCTACGGGCCTACGTTCCCTGACTATAAATTAATAAATAAATAAAATTATAAGGTGTGATACACTAAAAATCTTAAAAACATAACAAAAATAATGAAGCTACTGATTATACGGCTATAGAACCTAAATCTCGTAGCTTTCTTTGGTTAACTAGAGTTTAAAAATTCTCTCTAATCTGTGGCTCATTCACAATCATCACACAGTTTCTGTCACAGAGTATCTTATTATAATCGAAAATGACACCTCATTTTAAAAGTTACTAAGAGTAACTTTAAAAACAGGCAACTATCTGTTAATCTATATGCTCTCTCTCTACCTGAATCTAATCCATAATTTCGGTACTTGGCTTGATTTCCCTAGTTTACTATATAACTTATTTGTTTTTTATGATTTTAATATGTTCAGTGTATATGGTTTATAGAAGTTCTCACGGGTGTCCGTCAATAATATTCGTTTCTACAGTAACTTATATATAATTTCGAATCTAGGAAACAATTTTTCATGATTATTGGTCTTTAGACCAAATATGTATGGAAGCTGAGCAATCCCCTTTTTCCAGCGAACTATATACACAATCAGGTCATAAGTATTATCACACAGTAAAAACTTTTATTTTAGAATGCTGGCCACAAAAAAGTTTATTGAATTCGAATTTCGAATGGTTCATGAAAAT